GGGGGGGGGGAGGGGAGGGGGAAGGTTCATCCCTTGGCAGGGTCTCCCTAGCTGAGGAGTCCGGCGTTTCCATCAGGAAGCCTAGCTAAGAGTAAGCCAATACCAGGATCATCCACCCTCGTGGTATCAAAGTCGCATGGTGGCAAATTTACCCCTGATCCACACGGGCTGCAATTTACCTGTGGTGGTGAGGACCTAGGGCAGACTTTGGCCAGGCTGACCTCAGGATTCCAGGGAACGACAATGGCTTAACCAGCACATTTCCGAAAAATGGGGATTATACTGAGGTTCACACAACCAGTGAGGACCGGCCGTTCAAGTATCAAGTAATTATCAAGAAATTTAACGGTAACAACACGGTGAGAGAAAGACGAAAGAAGGAGTCACATGGTGAGGTAGTGAACACGTTAGCCCTCGGGCAGGGTAATAGCGTGTTCGGTCTCTACCGTAGACACCAGTGTTCCGGAGCTTTGCAAATATCTCAGTATCATTGTGGTTGTTTTTCACATAGTACCTTGCCATTAAAAAATAGTAGAGAGCAAATAAAAATTGACAATATCGAGAAATTATTATCAGCTATCAAAAAATTAGCACAGTCGCGAATGGGTGGGAAAAGTATTATTCATTCTGCGGTAGAAATCATTGAAATTGATCAGGATTTTATTGTGTTAAGGTTTGATCTCGAATCGGACATGTCGCCGTTCACTTCTGCATTTCTTGATAATCCATCTCTTTTCGATCCACGTACCTCTGCGGGAATGATCAGCCATAAAAATCATTCGTACGTATGTTTTTTTAGGCACATTGTGGTTCGTCTTATGGTTTGCTGTTTCTTGTTTTCCTTAGAGATGTGCCACAATGTTGAAATGATGGTTACAATAGCTCTAATTGTTTAAGCCGTATATTGCTATGAGGAGTAACACGTGCACATCTCAGAGAACACTTGGAAGTTTTTTCTCTGCTCAATAAGTAGCTTCAATGATTATTCGACTTATTGATAGAGAGTAACCGAACAGAGTTCGTATGATTGGGAAATATGCCTCTCTTAGATCAAAATGCTACTATTCTGTTGTATGGGACTAAGTCATGCGTAATCAGGAAGCACTCCTCTTTCCTGTCCATTTTTGAATTTTGTAATTTGTCGAAAACACTGCAAGAGTTTTTCGTGCTAATGTTTTACATACTTGTAGGGCGGGTAGCCACTTTTTCTTCGAAATTTTTTCTGTTGTGTCCGTGTCTTATGAGCCCTTAGTGGAGTATTTTGTTTACCTTTACGCTTACCATCTAGCAGTTTTTTCTACGGACACCTAGTGATCTACTCGTTTCGCCAGTATATTCTTCTTCGTGCATTTTACGACAAATCAGATAAACCGTACCCGAAGTTATACAATGGCCGTCCTTATCTTTAAGACAAATTATTCATCCCACGACCGACTTTCTGTTAACCTCGGCATTGTTCAAGTAATTCTTCGTATTCTTGTTGAGCAAACGCGAGGTGTTATTTTATTCCTTATTCACAGACATGCTGATGTTTCAGCGGATTTCGCCTTCCTCAGAGCCTGGAAGGGTCAACTTGACAGCGATTTATTCGGCCAAACACCTCCATCACCAAACAGAGAAAACGCTAAGCCAAGATTTCAATCACATTGAACATAGATTATCTTCTTCACACACTCACCGCTTTTTATGAGTCTTCCACTGAGTATGCTGCGTGGAGACCAATCGTACAGAATTCAAATGGAAGCGTAATGTGCCTCTCTCATCAGAATAACAGGCTTATATACTTCCCAATATCGCGCGTGATAATGATGCATTCTTCCCTGCGGTTCATTTTCGGTTTCCTGGAATTAATCCAGGATGCTTCGAGAGTTTTGCGCGCTTGTGTTCTCGGTTCCTGTGCGAGGATCGTAGCATGTGCTTCAAAGTCCTCCCCGTTATATCTCTTAGTCCTTTGCGTGCCTAATGGGGTATTTGGTTTACCTTTGCCAGCTAGGTGATCTTTTATGCGGACACAGAGAGGTATGCCCGTTTCGCCAATGTATTCGTCTCCACAAGCTTTACATGAGATCAGATAAACTATACCCGAGCTCATACAATCACTGTCTTTACCATTGGGGCAAGTTATGCAATTTTGCGTTGCACATAGACGGTCATATAGGCGGTTACTAACTAGCTGGCGCCTAGGATTACTCGGTGGCATTTCAACCACGTTTACCGAATTCTCTAGACCTGCCCTTCTTAAGCAGCGTTTTATAGCTGCACTTACATTTGAGATGAGGGGTAGTATAAACGGGAGTTTTTTATCGCTAGAGTTGTCGTTTGGGGCCCTTAAATTTACCCTACACCTATCCCGAGCTGCAGTTTCGTGGCCATTAGAAATTGCTATTTGCCGTGGCAAGTTCCGGGACTCCTCTCTCTGCTCTCTTCCCGTGCACACGTTGGTTGCTGTTCAAAACATGTTTCTTGCAAGCGGCCTTTTCGTGTGAGAGGGGTGAGAGAAGAGGTAATGAATCAAGATGTTTTTACTCCTTGGCTTTCGGTACCACTTCGTAATGTAGCCATGTTCTGACAGGTTAATTCTTTCGGTTTCTCTCGGATGAACTTGGTATACTTTGACTGTTCGTTCAACAACTCGAAACATTTGCCCATTTCCTGTTGTGTTGAGAAAAGGGCAAAACAGTCATCTATATATCTACAGTAGAGTAACGGCCCGCAATCGGTCAGTGGTGCTTCCACCTTAGGCAAATTATAAATACACAAATTATGGAGTTGCTCGTTTTGCACTGACGGTCGTACAAGCTCTTACGAACTAGCTGGCGTCTTGGAGTGTTTCGTGGAATTTGCTGTTACCAAATTCCCTAGACAGAGCCTTTTTAGGCAACGTTTTGTAGCTTTGATTATTCTGCTGAAAATAATGGGCAGAATAAACTGGACCTTACTCCCACTAGAATTTACGCCTGGGGCCATGGTTTTTCCTCTGCATCTGTCCCGGCTAGCTACAGGTTCATATCCATTGGAAATGGCTGTTTGCCGCGTCATATTCAGGGATTCCTCACTCTGCTCTCCTCTTGTGCACACATTGGTGGTCGTTCGAGATATGTTTATCACAAGCGCCGTTTTTCTATGTGAAAGGTGAGAGAAGAGGTAATCAACCAAGTGTTTTACTACATGGTTTTCGGTAGCATTTTGTTCTTTGCATCTAAGGTGGAATACTGTGTGCAATAGCTATCGCTCACGAAGTATTAGAAAGTGGAACCGCGGGTTTAATTGAGCAGAATTTTTCATGATCTTTCTTGATGCTTCTAACTGAGTAATTGTTTTTAACATTTTAATAATATTTCAGGTACTCATTATTTGCCATAGTAACACATATTGGTGATTCTTCTGGAGCTGGTCATTACATAAGCTATGTTCGTCGGAATCAGAACAAGTGGTATCGTTGTGACGACCACCAGGTTGTTTTAAGAACTTTGGCAGTTATCTATGTTTTACTTGTTTACAATTGTTTTAATCTGGGCTGAGTTCCAAGTGTTGCAAATATCTCTGCATCATAGTGATTGTATTTCGCATAATATATTGCCGATGAAAAATATTAGGACTGTAAATAAAAACCTGCTGCCACAGTTTACCGCCTTATCATTGCTGCGAGGTGTTCCTGGATGTCGGGGTCCGATGTACAGCGGAGGGATTCATCACTCTGGCAGTAGTCCTAAACTGGGAAGAAGTCCGGCGTTTCCATCAAAATGCTTATCTAAGAGTAGACCAATACCAAGCTCCACCACTGTCCTGGCATTAAAGTAGTTGAATGGTGGCAAATCTCCCTCTGATCCACAAGATCGGTTACTGCCTGTGGTGGTGATAACCTGGGAAGATTTTGGCTAGGCTGACCTCGTAACTGCATAAAAACAGTGGCTAAACCAGCAAAACTCCGATAAATGGAAATTTTGCTGAGGGGTGCATAACCAATGAGGACGGCCCATCCATGTATCCAAGTAGGAAATAAAAAACTATGCATTAAAATTGTTTCATTGAAGTTTGTAATCGTTATCAGTTTAGATCAAAGAAGTGCACTACAGTGATGTGGTTATGACTGAAGCATACTTACTATTTTATCAACTCACACAATTACGGCTAAAATAAGTTATTGCTATGAATGAAATAAGTTGAGTCCTTCTATTTATAGATGTCTTTGAATCGCTGAATCTACTTTTTTCGTACTAAGAAGTTTTACTTAATTATTTCCTTTGCTTTAATGTATACTTGCCTCATCAGAATGCTGTTGTATAACCGTTACGCATAAGTTTGCTCCACCTCTAACGCAATCAAGTTGTTTCTAATCTCGAAGCCATATTGTTTCTATTTCTGCTTTTTCGTTCTGCTTATCACTTTGTCTTTCAGTTCCTTGGTTTAGATTATTCATTTTATCCTAATCTTATTTTAGACCCAGTTGTATATTGGAATATAAAAATTTTAGTATTTAGTAGAAAATCCCAGAACTGACTTTCCTTCAACCTCGACATCGATTATAATTCAGTTTTCCTTTGCATAATTAAACACGAGCTTGTAACAGCAAGATTTATTCGGTACAAGTCAGCCTAATATTTCGAAATTCGCCTTCCACTGTGAACTCCGTATCAATTTGATTGTTCTAGGCTCCAAAGAAGACGAAACGGGCGAAACATCGGTCAGTATTGTACTAAGTAAATATTGTTGTTAATAAGATTGTTTTTGCACATCAGGAAGGCAGTGGATCCAATATTTCCCTAGTATTAAATTAAGTTTTGTCATTTCCTTAATTTCATATTTTCCTCCATTAATAGCAGTTTTATAGGCTTGACACGTATTTTTAATGGCATGAAAATTTTCTGATCCTGTCACTGGTGTGAAACTCAGGATCGTGATATTGCAAATAGGAGATTGAGCTGACAATGAAGATTACTTTCCTTCGCGTATTTTATGGAAATGCATTTTCAGAGAAGGAGAGCGTGTAGCGCAGTTGTCGGGGGCACCCTCTAGTGCAAATGGGATCGATTCCCGCGCCAAAGGCTCACCGAACTGTCCATCCGTCAGGAAATTGCTATCGGACTTGTCTCAGAGGATAGCAGCACTGGATCAATACATCGGTATGCGAGGCGAGTCATTGCAAAGGCCAGATATGGATTTAATTACCTCCAAACGATGCTTAATGAAGTCGAATTCAAGGCGTCTCCTTCAGGCATTAATCAACACCTGGGCTTTATCCTTTATTTATCCTTTACATTTTGCGGAAAGAGAAAAAAGCAACAATGAAAAACGACTGAAGTAACAGGCTGAATTTTTCTTCTTCGGCAAACCGAAGTTGTTCATAAAAGATTTCTTCAACAACGACTACCTTCTTGGCGGTTTCGCTTTCTTCAGAGCCGGGGAAGGTCGGGTTGACACACAGTCTACGCATTCAAGGACTATAACTCTATGAGAAAAAACTCGATACATGAATTGCAAGCGCGTGGTAAACACTTTCTTTAAGCACTCACGGTTTTGTTCTTTTTAAGTCTTTCAGGTGTTGACGGCGACCAGTCGCACAGAGTTTTGCACAGGTCAGGAATGTGCATGGCTCGCGAAAAGACCAAGGTAGAGGTATGGCACGAAGTCACACGCGATCACAAGGCACTCCTGTCTGTAGGCAATTCATTTTTGGGTTTTCGGAATTTATCCAAAACGTTTCAAGAGTTTCTGCTGTTTTAGATTACGGCCTTTTACGCGAATAAAGGTCTCAGTACGTGCCTAGTAGAGTGCTTTCACTTTAATCTCCTTATCTCGGTACTATTTTATATGACACGGAGACGTCTTTCCGTCCCTCCAGAGTGTTTGAGTTATCCGCTTCACAAGAGATGAAGGACATCATTTGGGCAGTCATGTAGTCAGCGTATTTACCGTCAGTGCAAATTATACAGTTTTGTGTTGTTCAGAAGCGGTTCTGCATATGGTTATGAATTATCTCATAACGTATAGTGTTCGGTGGCAGTTCAATCACTGCTGCTGAATTCTCTAGACCTACCTTTCTTTTAAGTACTATGAAATTATTTGCAGAAGTAGTATGATGTGACTGGATTGTCAGTTCTATGAGAGTTCTCACAGTTATCTCTGTTCTAGAGACCAGTTGTTATGTGATGAGGCGAATGTTGGCTTATATCACGTTGTGGACAGTCCATTTGAGTAAAGAAAATTTCATAATATAGTGCACAGCTTGTAGCAATTCAGCAGCAATTAGTTGACAGAATGAACACTCGGTTAGAGTGGCGCAGGGTCTTCTTAGTTGACTAGACATCGTTGGGTATCTGCTCTACTATCGGTGGTAGGTCCGTTTTGGTGTCGACTAATTATCTGCAGTGTATAGCAGCTATCCTGCAACGTTTTTCAGGATATGTGAACGAAAGTCGAGAAAGGCAAATCGCACTGATCAAGCACTGTAATGAAACTGTAGGCTGTAATCGATAGATTAACTTATCAAGTTCTGATGTAAATGCTGGAGGTTGATGATCTCCTAGTGAACGATGTGTTACACGGGGATAGCCTGCTCGCTTGTCTCTGTTTCTTGAGTTTACTCGCTGTTTATCACACGGATCAGCAGTGATCAGTATACAATAATGCACATGATATACGGCAATGATTAGTACGAGTCACCTATATGGGCAAGTCAACAGCTGATCTACACAAAGTAAGGTAGCAATAATGAAATATCGACAGCAAAAACGGTGTCCAGATGAACACAATCTTGACCAAGATTGGAGTTCATATTTCTGTTGGAGGAGGTGGTGTGACGGCGAAATCTGAAACTTACCATGGTTTACCGACAAAGCTTATTCGCCTTTCGTGGACGGATTAGACATAAATTACAATGCACGAGGATAGCTACTTATCACAGAGAACTGTTAAATCTCATGCTATGGTATGTATCCGGAAGCGGCTTTCAAATGGACAAAATATTATACAAAGGGCTCTGCTTGGACAGCTTGCACCAACAATGATGCCTGTAGGGAAAATTTGTGAATATAGTTGAGAAGTAATAGACAGCGTTCTCTATTTTGTTGAGATTTTCTATATATCATCACAGTGAAGACCATTCTACTGAATGTGCAAATTTGAGGGATCGCGTTTGGTATTACTATGTATCTCGTCGGAGTATTTGTTACCTTAGATCCTCATAAAACCTTGTGGTAATGGACTGAAAGCCTTCGCTAGAAGCTAGCACAAAATAACCCAGCTATCTATGGAACATTATTTGTTTTGGTTGGATCGAAGACCAATTTTCCTCTACGCAACTTCTTTGCTTAGCGCTCTAAATGGGATTTTTTGAAGTAAACACCTCATCGTGTGCTTCTCATCCTTTCACTTCAAAACCACTATGTCATTTCGATTGCACTGTGTTAAGATCTTTCTTCAGCTTCTTGTGCATTGATCTTCTTAGGTAATATATACAGAGATTTTCTTTTACCTCGCAGAGAATATCCTGTATTTGTGAATTTTCCCGCATGTTTCTCATGGTATTTGTATACTTTTTTTTTACAAAGTCCATTTCCTAACACCATTTTAGAATGTGTCATAAGACCTGGGTTATAGCCCTGCATTGTAGCCAACTGGAAAGTCGGAAAGTGCCTGAAATCCCTTGCATGGCAACGCCTGTACAACCGTAAAAACATTCGCTAGGAATGGTTACGCCTACTGCAGCAACGTTTCTCTTAATTCTGCACCCGGGCGATATTCCGATTCGCCATCATGCTTTCGGCTCACCCCACTCTTGTTCAGCAGAAAGCAGACTATCCAGAAGCAGCTACTTACTATTTTCTGTTACCAATGTATTGGAGCTAATATTAAGTTTTTATGCGCATGTTGTGCCCTATTATTACTGCTACCTTGTTATTAATTTCATTGCTACCTTGTGTTTACTTACATAGGTGTTTACTTGTTCAATTTTGAGGTTTGAAGTAATTCTAAGCGTCTCTGCCTACCTCCCATAATATAAAACCTAATTACTCTAGTCAGAGGCTTCGAGTAATAGAGCAACATCTCTAAACATCTTTGCTGCATGGTGCACAGGTTAATCAAAAAGACCTGGGAATTGCTCCATAGCACAAGCGCGCAAAAGAAAAACATAAGTGCTAACCTTACAACGTAACGTTAAGGCAGCTAGGTCACCGTTAATTGTTCAAATGATGGCGTAACTTAACGCCACCATAAGCGAATAAACCTATTTCGTGAGTCTCGAATATTCAATCGCCCAAGGTTGAGGTTTACTCTGCTGTAACAATAAAAATTCCCACATCACAATTCGTAAGAAGTCAACCATTCTAGTCGAACCAGCTGATGAATTCGCTGGCTTTTCTGTTTTCAATGAAGTAACTACTACACAAAGTCCTTTTCTGTTTTTCCTTCAGCATCCGAAAAATGGTTCCTTCTGTATGTAACACAGCCATGCAAAGATTTTCTACGTCAATCATCGGTATGGGTGTGATTGCTAAATGAAAATCCATTAGCAATATCACTACAAAGTACACTAAATCTCCAGTTTTAGAAGATGGTCTTACTCTAACCTTCAGCACAATCTGAATAATCTGAAACCGCATTCGTTCTACATATGTGAAATAGATTAGCGGAAATGAATCGGACTCTAAAAACACGTTGGATTCATAGATACATGGGTCTAAATGGATTAAAGCTCCAATAATTCTTCAACTATTCCAGTACTATTATACCCATCTTAAAAGAGAGACCGGCGAATCTTTTCATCACGTTCACAATTGCCCATTCTCAAGACAACTTTCTGTTATCTGTATTTGCTGGTCTGATGAGTTGAGTCCGATGCTAGTTATCTGTTATCTTACGATAAAATTTTGTCATATAGCCACTTTCTGAGAGTCTATATCTAATGAACCAGGAATATCAGTTTAAATAGTTCACAACAATTTGTGCATTCTGTGTACCAATGAGAAAATTTCCGATGCGAACCAGACCAGCTGTCATGGACGATCTAATGGTTGTGAGGCAGTATACCACTAGACCACTTACTGCTAATTTCATCTTCAACAGCCTTGTCTTGTTTTTTCACTTCACTTTTCTTAGCCTCTTTGAGCATAATCATAAAAGGTTTCTCGTTGTCCTCC